AAATAAATCCATAGATACAGTGAGGATGGATGGATGGATGGATGGACGGGTGGACAGATGATGAGTTCAGCCTGTGAAGTTGAAGGGAGGACTAAAAAAGAGGAGAGAAAGTTAATGTGGACAAATGGATGCATGGGTGAAAAGTAGAAATGGGGAATAGAAGGATGGATGAACTGAGAGGGGAAGAATGCAAGTGAGGAAAGCCCAGTGATAAAATGTGTGCATGGCTACTTGGTGTGGACAAATGATAGGAAGAAGGGAGGATGTGGCAAAGCATGCATCGATGGAGGGCAGTGAGCATACTGATCGAGCTGGTGTGTGACGTGGGAGTGTTATGAGAAAATGACATTAAAGGAACAGTTTAGTGGGTCAGTGTCGGGCTTGGTAAGGATGGGATGGGACAGTAGGAGAGAGAAAGTCAGAAGGACAATGATTGTGTAGCAGGTGAGGGAAGGCTGGTGCTGTCTGCATGTAGTGAACAGTGTGGAGGATGGATTGACATCACTCTGCATCACCTAATGAGGAGTATTGAAGAAACTCCAGATGCCTTCATCACCTGTTAACACCACAGAGTATCTACACAAAATCAACTGTGACACTACTAGGTGATGAAGTCTTGTGTATGAGACCTGCTGTTGCCTGAAGTGTCATTCTATGACCTGTATGACATCATGTGTCATATATAACAGAGTAAATGGCTGGGACAACTGCATACATGCATGGATGGTGGGTGAGTAGATGGATGGGTGGATATACGGAAGGTGGAAAGATAGATAGGAATGTGTAAGGGGTGAGCATATGAGAAGTTGAGTGTGTAGATAGTTGAGTAAATATGCAGACAAGTGGGTAGGAGGATGGTAGATGGGTGGAGGGGTAGATGGATGAGTGTGTGGATGGGTAGAAGGGTGGGTGGATGAATGGTGGTGTGCGTGGGTAGATGGGTTAAATGGGCGAATCAACTGGTGAAGGCTGGATGGGTGGGTAGATAGATGATAGATGAGCAAATAGGGTGATGTGTGTGGTGTGGATAGATGGGTGAGTGGGTGAAAGGATGGATGACCACATGGACAGATGGTTGGGTAAAGAGATAAATTAATAGCCAGGTATGTATAAGTATGATGTGGATAGATAAATGGTACATGGGTAGATGAATAGATAAAGAGGTGGGTGTGGTACAGATGGATGGGTAGATAGATGGGTGGAGGATGGATAATTGGGAAGATGAATGGCTGTTAGTGGGTAGATGGATGGATGAGTAGATGGGTAGGTGGGTAGGTGGATGAGTATGAGATGGATGGGTAGATAGACGGGTTGAAGTGGAAACTTCTAGTTTCTTTGGAAAGATAGTTATTTCAAATGTTTTGCTGGGGCACAAAGGTGAACAGATCTCTTGCTAAAGCAAACTCATGAAAGACTTTTCGAAGCAGATACTTTCACTGGAAAGTATGTTTGGATATAGCAAACATGTGAAAGGACTCATGAAGAAGGAGTATAACTATGACCCCACAGACGGTTGGAGATGAGCTTTGGTTTGGTTTGCCCCACCTCGATATTCTTCACTAATGACAGGCATGTATTGGTTCACCTTACATAGGGCTGTTGAGCTCAACTTGTGACAACACTGCCACTGAGAGAAACTCGCCCAAAAACTGCTCGTGAGGTTCCTGCAGCAGCTTGCCGCCTCCGAGGCCTCACCTTAAGCCAGTTGGTGAGCCTGGCAGTTTCTTCAGGATTGAACTACAGCTGCCTGGTGTCTTCTTGCTGAAAGGACTGGACTGTAGCTGCTGGTTCATGCCTGGTATCTTCCTGCCTAGAGGACCAGTCCGCAGCTGCTGAGTTGCATTTGGTGTTTGCTACAGGACTGAACTGCTGCCTACTAAGATCAAGCTTGTCCCCAAAGAACTATTGCTGAACAGGTCTACTTCCCCCATATCCTAATAACTTTTCTCTTCCACTACCTCTGCTGGGTTGTGGGCTAGAGGAGAGATTGAACCTTTATTAAATGCAGGTTGCAAAAAAAATGTATGCCTACAATGGTTAGTTGAATGGATGGGCTGGTAGTATTGATATTCAGGAAGGATGAGATGGACAGATGCATGCATATAAAACCCAACCAGAATCTACCCTCCTAACCCATTCTTTCAGGTGTTCCTATCTCAGGAAGTGCCCGTGTCTCCTAAGCTCAGATCAAGCAGCTGCTACATGCTGACTGCACTGCACTGCCTCTCCTGTGCCTCACACTCTGCTCCCCACAGAGGATGTCCATGCTTGGTGTGTGCTCCTTTCTCCAGGCAGAACTTTGCATTCACCCATTCTTCAAAACCCATAGGAGATACTACCTCCTCCCAGAAACCCTTGCCTTGAACCTTACTTGGCCCCAAGTTCAGTGTGATGTCTTCCTCTTCTGAGACGATAGACTAGATATCTCCTCTGCTGACATCCTCTGTCCAGCCAAATAATAGACCTCCCCCATGACGGTTACCATACTTTAGACACTAGAAGGCTGGTCCTGAGGATGGGGCAGGAAGATGTAAAGGAAAGAAGGCCTTAGAGGCTCTGCAGGAGAGACACGGGTTTCATACAAAAGAGGGCCTGTGAGCCAGCGTATGCACACAGCAGACAGCTGCATCTCACACCAACCCACCTGCACCACCTGATCACAGGATGGCTTGAACAGCATTGTCTCTCTTTGTTAACAGATAAGGGAAGAGCTCAGCAAGGAAAGGTGGCTGGAAAGCTAGCCCCAAGTCCTCCTGACCCCTGTTCCATCTACTGTCCTTGGATGGGCTTGTCATGGGCTGCATGAGTGGCAGGTGAAGCTAGTTAGAAGGCTGCAGCTAGCTGCACGGGTAGATTGATGTCCAGGCATCAGGGTCAGAGTTTCTGACCCTGCACATCCTTCTAAGAAGCCCCAAGATCTGTTCCTGGAGAAGATCTCAGGGAGCAAAACATGAGAGAGAAAGCGAGCTCTTTCTCCTCTCCAAAGTGTCAACCTCACATCCCAGTACAAACTCAAAACCATCCAGAAATGCCTGACCTACCTACAACCCACACCAGATGGGCTACCCTGCCCAGCCAACCAGAGACAGCCTGAGCCAGGGGAGGAAGGGACAGCTCCCGGACCAGAGCCCAGGCAGCCATGCTCAAACCCTCAGGCTGTAGACAGCAAGGGAAAGAGGGCACCAGGGGGAGGCTATGTTCCACTAGCAACCTGGCAATGGTGCCTTCTGCCTGGCACTGCCCCAGAGAACAGAGCTGAGCTGGCCTTAGGACATCCCAAGTCCCTAGGGCCTCTCAGCACAAGAAGTCATACACACACACACACACACACACACACACACACACACACACACATATCTTTGGTACACTTATGTGCAAACACATATTGACTCACTGACATTTGCATGCACACATTACACTCAAACATGTGTCCATTCACAATACGTATCTAAGTGGATGTAGGCATGTGATTAGGCTGACATCCCTCACATGCAATTCGACAAACATTTCTATATACGTTCATGCACACTTACACACAGTTGCACTAACATATGCATTTGCTCACACACTTGCACATGTGCATGCACATGGTCAAATGCATGAAATAACACTTAGACATACACTCAAGCATCCACACTCCATATAAACATACCCATCCATGCAACACACTCAGATGCACCCACTCATACTCTACACACACACACACACACACACACACACGGTGAATTATCCCATGTGAGCACATGAGTACATGCGTGGGATTACGTGCTCTCACAGACATGCCCACTCATGTACACAACACCCGTGTGGTACATGTAAAGATGAGGAACCCAGGGCTGGAGAAGAAGGCATGACAATAGTGTGATATGCTGAGCATGAATCAGGAAGAAAAGAGGAGAGCCTGTTGGCCAGGCATGTGATACAGGAGAAGGTGGGACTCATGCCTGCAGGTGAATCATGGGCTGAGCTGCCTGGGGACCCTTCTTCCCAGTTCAGTCTTACCCTCACTTTTAAATCCCTGCAGCACCCTTCTTTCTGCTCTCCCAGCCCCTGATACCCCTCCTTGCTGGGCAGCTGTGATTTCTGGACTGCATCTGGCTTGGGCCATTCAAGTCTGGGCTCAGGAAGTGATATCTGTGTAATTGTGAGCCAAGCCCTTCCTTCCGGAGATGCAGGACGGGAGGAGGGCACCCAGGCACCATTCCTGCACCCTGCTGGTGGGGCTCCAACAGCCCAAGAATGCTCAGTCCTTACCTGGGACACAAGGGCTGAGACATTGAGGTCATCTACCACAGCTTCCCCCAGCCCCAAGTTGTGTTTGTTTCTCTCATTTTGTCAGGGGAAGGAGTGGATAAGGGGTTCCAAAGACTTGTCACCCTGCTCTGTTTTCAGCCACTGACTCTTCGTACAAAAGGGAGTCAGACCTGGAAGTTGTAGCCTCTGTGGGTACAGGGTGGGTGGGGTTAGGATGTTTTCCAGCTCTCTCCCTAGCCAGTCTGGTCATCAGACGTTGGCCTTCCACCATAGACCTGGCTGGGTGAGCATAGAGCCTGGCAACATTGCTCCCAGAGAGGGGCCTAGGTAAGAGGTTCTGCAAGGGCCCTGAGATCATCCCCTCTGCTTCCCACAGGCACAGGACTTCAAGCCCCCGGGCTCCTTGCAATCTCTATCACATTTACTTAGGTGTGACTACTAGCCACATTGACTCCCATGTCCCCTGACCAAAAGACAGGACCTTGAGCTCTGAATGCCTGTTCTCAATGACATAACTAAGCTGGTTGTCTAGAGCAGACAACACTACCCCACTCCCCAAACTGGGTCAAGCTTTCTCAGTTCAAGGAAGGGAAGGGGTGGCCCTTTGCTCCCACCCCAGAGCCTTGCCTCTTTAAATCCATAAGAAGGTCTCCTGGTTGGGCTTGCATGTTCTGCCTTGGGCTCTACTAAGTGACATTACATCCTGTTAGCCCCCATAACCCTGCCCACCCCCTGCCCAGGCTCACTTTGAGGGAGTAGGCCAGAGCAATGAAGCCCAGGCAACAGAAGTTGAGGTAGACGAAGTTGAAGATGGACCACAGATAGTAGTCGTTCACCTCCGTGGTGTCAGGGTAGACCTCGATGACTGTGGTGGGGTTCGTCATGGTTTTCTTCTCAGCTAAGTGCTTGCAGGCTTGTGGAACACCCGATGCCCGAACGCTGTCAGTCTTGCTGCTTTTAGACTCCATAGGAAACAGAGTGGGTGCCATGGGGGGCGAGGCCGAAGGCTCAGGAGCTGGAGCCGCTGCAGCCTGCAGGGCAGGAGGCTTGGACACACAGGCGAAGCAGCCCTTGGGCGAACCTGCTGGTGGCCTGGGAATCCAGAAGGCCCCGTCCAGGGGGACTCGGGCTTCCTGGGTGCCGTCCGTGGTGCTAGCCGGGGCTCCCAGCAGGGCTGGGCACTGGCTGGGGCCCTGGGCCTGAAGGGAGGGACAAAGTGAGGAGTTGCTGGGCCTTGTGCTGCCAGTAGCACCCACCCTGGAGCCTTGCAGCATCTTCCCTACAGTCCCATAAATGGTCTTTGGGAGATGGAAATCCCTGCGAGGTTGCCAGCTGCCAGTCTGCCTGCCACCTGCCTCCCCCACCCAGCCAGCCACAGCCAATACCAAAGCCATTCGCAGTAGTCTTGGCAAGCACATCAGGGCTTTTCATCGCTTTACCATCTGCGCCTACTGACACACACAACAGCATCCTCCTCAGCACCCTGAGTGACACCCTGTTGCGATAAGCAGAGCGCCCCCACATCTCCACGCACTCAGGGCATTCGGACCTACAGTGATACTGCTCCAGTCACCGACTGACAGAATGAAAAGCGCTCGCTGAAGCACATACACACCAAAACGCACCATGCACACCATCACCCGCCCAGCTCTCCAGCCCCAGCACACCCGCGCGCCCAGACGTGCCAGGTAAACAATTGCCCACCCAGACACACAGCGCTACACACCACCCCACAGGCTCAGGCACATCTCTGGAGGATCCGCGCAGGTGCAGGACTACAAACTCTCACTCATCGCCTCCCAAAGCCAACAGAAAGAGGCACCGGGAGACCCTAAGAGCGCACACTGTCACACAGAGCCATTCACCTCCCCTCTTGTCCCCACCCCCCGCCGTGTCACCAAGAGATCCACAATGACACTCTGCGAAATGAACACTTCCAAGAGACAGCTTGGCGCCGGAGCTCTGCGCCACTAGGCGCACCCGGCGCCCGTGAGGTAATAGCAGGGGGCTGTGGCTGGGCTGAGTGGCCCCCCGATCTGACCCTAGGCTACAACACCCACCAGTACCGCTCACCTACTGGCGACTCGACGAGTGGGTCAAACCCCTGAGCCTCAGAGCGCGAGTCCTTCTCTCCCGGGCCGTTGTCTGTCCGCTGATCGCGTCCCAGCGGCCCAACCTTGGGGGCGGGGAGCGAGCGGGGCTGGCGCCGCTGCCTCCCCCGCTGCCCGCGCGCGCTCCGCAGCGCCAGGCCAGCCGCGGCTGCAGCCAGAGCCTGACTCACGGCGGCGTCGCAGACACCTCCGCCTTCTCCCTAGGGAGGGAGGGGGGCCCCCTATCCCGGAAGCCAGGACCCCGGGGAGTCGCGAGCAGGGCAAGGCTGGCACCCCTCTAACCCATGAGCTGCATGGCTCTCTCATCCACTGACCACCCAGCCGCTGCTACCCCTAGTGCACCTGTGCTCAAATTCTCTCGCGGGTCCTCAGGTTCTGGCAAGTCTGTCTACTGGGCACTCCACCTTGTTCCCATGGCTGACACCCTTCTCCCTACATTTCTTCCATCCAGCCTTGCTAGCTCCAAGACCTGTGCCTTCAGAGCCCCTTTACCAAGCATCTCTTCCTCTTACCCTGTTGAGTCCCACCTGCCAACCTCAGTCCCATAGCAGTCCTAGCCTTTTCTCATGAGGCCCTGTCCTGGTATAAGGATTTTAAGCCCCCGCCTACCTCTTCTTTGATCCTGCCCAGTTGGGCTCCAATCTCACTACTAGCTAAGTCCTGTCTGAGCTGGTCTAGTCCCCATCCCTAATCAGGTTTCTTTTTGGAGTCTCTGGTTCCTTGAAGTTTACAGACACAGATCACAGTTCCTACCTGACTGGGAAGCAACACATCAAACTCCAGAGGAACATTCATTATTGTTCAATCCTGCTTCCCAAGTCCCCAAGGTCAGTCAGTGTTCAGGGTTTTTTTGCTCCCGAGTCCAAGTCTAGGCCCTTCACCAACAATTTTCAGAACCCTGTTCTGAGCCCCCCTTTTGGAGTTCCTGTCTCCCAAGTCTGACCCCACCAAGCTTGGTTCATTCGGTCTCATATGTTCATCATAACTGGGGCTTCAAGTATCTGACCTGTAACAGGCATGCCTGTCCCTGCTTCACAAACTCTCCTCTGCCCTCAGGAACAGGTGTGCTACTCGGAAGCCTGGTTCCTCTCAGACACCCCTAAACTGGTCTCCTTGGAGCTCAGAACACTTTCCTGCTCATAGCCTTTCTGATCTCATGCTGGGCCCCGACAGTGCTCCGTCCTTACACACGACTTGCCCTAAGCAATACTGTCCTCTAAGGCTCAGTCCCAACCAGTTTCTTTTCTCCCTGCCTCACCCCCATCCTCAGTCTCTCTTAGATACTTGACCTCAACTGATCCCCAGCTCCATAGAAGGTCCAACGGGCTTTCTTCACCATGGAGAGCTCTCAACTGCCCTCACTCCCTCAGAACCCTTACCTCACCATGTAGGGGTGGAATAGGTGGTCCTTTTCATCCTCCTCTGAAGTTCCCCAAACTGTGCACAAAAGCCTTGTTTCCTGCCTTCTTGGACCCCTTTCTCCCTAGCTCTTCTCTAGGATCCTTTCCAAAGTGTTCCAGGGCTGCCTGGTCCCTAGTCTTTCTGGTCTCCTGGAACCTGGGCTCTCTGAACCCTGAGTCCTTCTTCAAGGCTCTGTCTCCTGATTAAGCCCTGTCCCATGCCAAGATCCTCCCTTTCCAGCCCAAACCCCACCTCTGATCCCTGCTGACCCTTGGCACAGATCATTTCTGCATGTCAGGAATTTTCAGTGTGAAATGGATCTTAAGTGCAGAAAAAAAAAAGACTCTTCTTGAGTAGGTGGAATTAATTTCCACATCGGCAGGGACCCCTCCCACCTTTTCTTGGCTTTCTTCTGGGCACTCCCTCATGGAGCCTAGCCTTGTTGGTCCAATAAGCCTGGGGGCAAATGGGTTGTGCCAGGAAGTCAGTTCTCCCTCATCCAACTCCACCACTCCTTTGGATCCCAAGGGCCTGACAAGCAGACACACAGAAGCTCCCTCCCCAGCCTGTATGTGGCTGTGTAGCACCCAACTAATTACACTCATTTACACTCTTGACACTCTCCTTACCACACCACCTAAGTCAGGTGCTGCCCTTGGCACGCCTGGCCTGTGAGCCTCAGACTTCAGGAAGCAGAAGGGTTGGTCCTTTGGCCCTCAGGACAGGGTCCGCTCAAGGTCATTGGCAAGGTTAAGGCTGAGTCAGGCTCTCCTTCCCAAAAGTCAGCTTTAGGGCTCTGGAGTCAGTGTCCTAACCTTTATACTTTAAGCTGGTGAGGGAAAGGCATAGGTATGGTCAGGCCTCATTAATACCCTGGTCAGGAGTTTGAGGGGAGAAACACCCACCATGAGAAAGCTAGAGTACAGGGTTTTATAGCTAGCTTCCTTACCCCTGCCTGCAGCAAGGGTCCCACTTCTTCCCAGGGCCTGAAGGCTAATATGAAGGTCATTCAGCTAAGAGGCTGATGTGAAGTCCAGGGTCCTCCCCAGGGCATCCCTGGGCAGCGGCTGTGGAAGCAGCAGCCCCAGCATGCAGGCCTGGCAGTGCAGCTCAGCCTCAGGCCCGCAGGGGAGGGAGGAGCTGTGTCTCCAGCTCTGATGCACAAGCCTTTGATAACACTAGTCTCCAGAAGCCCTGCCAGGCCCTGCGGGACTCCTTGCTCAGATTTCAAACAGAGAACACTGGGTACGTGTTTACTGGCCTTCTGGCAACCCTTGGTGAACGTTCTCCAGAAGTAGCCTAATAGGGCTCAGCTATGAGACATATCCCTCCAAAACCTTCCTACTGAAACAATGACAGCCACAGCCCAGCAGGCAAAGGGTGCCAGGACAACTCCAAAAGGCGACAAAGGTCACAGTTCCTTATATCCTGCACCTGCTAGTGTGGGGAAGCAGCTCTAAGGCTGCAGAGCTGATTCCAAAAGGAATCTCTAACCTACCAGTAAGGACTCACCAACTCCCACTCTATTTAAAATCCTGCTGGTTGCTTTCAGTGTTGTATTTGAACCTGTGTTCACCCATCTCTTCCCCTGAAACCCAACCTTCGCACCAATGCTTGTAGAACAACTGCAGCCCATGAACAGGGAGTTCTGACCTCTGAACTCAGAGACCCCAGGCAGGCAGGCTCCAGCACTGGCTTGACTCAAAAAAGCAAAAGATGGTTTCTTGGGGCTGTCAGAGGCCCAGGCAGGGAGACTGCCCAGGGCACCCAGAACCAGCAGATGGCTTTTCCGACCCAGATCTAAAGGACTGAGTGTTGAAAAGGAAATGTATGGAACCCAAGATTTCCATTAAGGCTTATTCCATTTCTTCTGGGAATAGGCTGCTTCCCTGGCAAAACACAGCAGGTGCTGGCCTGGCCACCTCTGAAAATGATTCAACACAGGATCTAACCCAGAATTCTAGGCCTGCTCCATGGCCTCCACCCAAGGCCACATCCGGCCTCTGACTACTGCCTGAGGTCTCAGAACCTGCCAGTTCTAGTCCAGACTCATCTTGCCCACAAGGCCAGACAGCAACCCAGAGCCTCAGGAGTCCCCTCTGTTCACTGGCCTGGTGCTGAAAGCCAAGCCTGTGCCCTCTATTCCCCCAACCCCCAGCAGCCAGCTTGTCCCTGAATTAGCCCTTAGTAGCACTGGGTTCCCCTGGTCTAACTAGCTCCATCCCCAAGGTCCCAATTCAGAAACAGTACAGAGCACACCAACAACAGAGAAAGAGGCCCAAAACAACTTTATTTCTATCTCAACTTTGGCTCCCAGATGCCCCAGGATAAGGGCAGCAGAGGCCAGCCAAAACCAGTCAGCCATCCTACCTCTACCCCAGGCTGAGGCATGCCTTCCCAGGGGGGTGGGGCCAGGCCCTATGTAACCCCCCAGGTTCATAGTTTTGCTTCTGTCCTCTTGCTCCTTCCTGCTCACCTTGGGGCCTTTGCCAGGCCAGAGACAGTGGGGCAGTAGAGCTTGGTGCCATCCCCAGGCTGAGTGAGGGGTCTGGGTTAGACTAAGCAGGTTTCTGGGAGGGATCCTAAGACCCATTTGCCTACTTTAGAGTGCTGCCCACTCAGCAAAGGACAGCAGGACAAGATAATCCATCTCAGTAGCTACCAAACCATTAGGGGCCTTTGAAAGCAGCCTTGTGTACTGGGTGGGCCTTGGCTTCCTTCAGACAGGCAGAGGGCAGCAATCTGAACCCAAGGACAGGAACCACAGAACAGAACAGCTGGACCAGCTCCAGCCAGGTTTCCCAAGGGCCCAGCAACACTAGGCGAGTGTGAATATGTGTGAGTGGGGGAGGTGGAGGGATGGGGCTGGCTGGCTTCCTCTACTGGACTCTGATCCCATTCCCTGACGGTGGAGAAAGAGCGAGTCAGAGTA